GTAGAATGATTTATAATCCTTTGGGTATATGCCCAGTAATGGGATTTCTGAGGCCTCTGTTCCGTTCCATTGGTCTATACATTTGTTTTGGTACCAGTACCATGCTCTTTTGGTTACTGTACCCTTGTATAGTTTGAAGTCAGGTAGCATGATGCCTCCAGCTTTGTTCTTTATGCTTAGAATTGTCTTGGCTATGCAGGCTCTTTTTTGGTTCCATATGAAGTTTAAAGTAGTTTTTTCCAATTCTGTGGAGAAAGTCAATGGGTAGCTTGATGGAGATAGCACTGAATCTATAAATTACTTTGGGCAGTATGGTCATTTTCACGATATTGATTCTTCCTATCCATGAGCGTGGAATGTTTTTCCATTTGTTTGTGTTCTCTCTTACTTCCTTGAGCAGTGGTTTGTAGTTCTCCTTGAAGAGGTCCTTCACATCCCTTGTAAGTTGTATTCCTAGGTATTTTATTCTCTTAGTAGCAGTTGTGAATGGGAGTTCACTCATGATTTGACTCTGTCTGTTATTGGTGTATAGGAATGCTTGTGATTTTTGCACATAGATTTTGTATACTGAGACTTTGCTGAAGTTGCTTATCAGCTTAAGGAGATTTTGGGCTGAAACGGTGAGGTTTTATAAATATACAATCATGTCATCTGCAAACAGAGACAATTTGACTTCCTCTTTTCCTATTTGAATTATTTTCTTCTCCATTCACTTTGGCCTTTCATTTTTGACAACCAAAATAGAAGATCTGTTTTAGCCCAGGTAAGAACATTGTATTAAATAATGGCTGCAGTGTTTTCAAGTATAAAACAGATCATGAAAGCTTCATTTTTAGACATCAGATTAGGTTAATATTTCACAAGAGAACAGATTTGCAATTCAATATGAAAAGCTTACAGCACCTGGAATATGCATGCATTGTGTTTGGCTTGAGGGAGAATACAAAAGTAAGTAAGATATATACTTGTCCTACAGAAGCTTATAGCATATTATGATAAATAAGAAAAATGTACCAATAACTATAGTAAAAGGGAGGATATCTGTGCTAATTCTTGATGGTAGGAACTGTATCATAATCATGCTGTATTTCTAATACCTGTCACCAAGCCTCACACCGATTAGGCATGAAACCTGTCTGATAATTGTTAAAGAGGAAGTGCTATGAAAGATGTCATAGAAATACATTGTTCAACTCATTAGCTACTGGTCACAAGTGGCTATTTAAATTAACTTAAATTTAATAAAATTAACATTTTACTTTTCTAGTCACTAGCCACATTCAAGTGCTTAAAAGGCACATGTGGCTAGTGTCTGCTGTATTGAACAATGCAGATTATAAAGCATCAAAGAAAGTTCTATGGCACAGAATTGACAGAGAAGATCAAAAGGAGGAAGGTACTAAAGTTCGCCATTCGGCATGACAAGAAAGGTAGAAAATGGCATTTGGGCTTAGCCTTGATGAATGGGTATGATTTTTAACAAGAGAAATTAGAAGAACAATATTTTAGAGAAATCAAACAGCAGGGAGAAAAGAGAGCTAAGGAGAACAGGTATCCAAGTTATCCTACATGGCTCGATCTTGTAGAGGACAGAGGTGAGAGAGAAGACGAAGTGGTGGGTCGGGTCTGTTAGTCCTAACCTTATTCTCTTTCTCTCCATCCATTTTTTGCTCCACAGCCTAGGCCACAGGTACCAGCCCTGTTTTTACATTGGAGATGCTTAAATGACCTCTAGACTAACACTGGTGCTGATCCCATTAGGAGAACACATCAACATCCTTCTTAATCTAACCCTTAAGTGGTACTTCAGTTCTCCTACCTAAACATGCACTTTAAATCCAGTCCCTGATTGTGTCCAGTGTATCTGGGTGGACTTCCCCTTTGGGCACTGTCCTAAGTCCTTTCCCAGTCCTCTCCCAGCTGCTGACTTTACTCTTGACAATCTTTATGTCCTCACATTCCATAAAAGCTCCATCCCCACACCCTAAACAAGCAGATCTTCCCGGTGCCAAATGTTTGTGCAGACATCCGGGTGTAATTCACCCACATGCTAAAATATCCTGATATTTCATTTAGCTCACTCTTATGGCTCTCACTCTTAGGCACTGTGCCTTTTCCAGGAGCATCTACATCTGGATTCATTTTCCCAGTGCCCACCTTATCCAGATGGTAGCCTGATATGGTCCGGTTCTGTGTTCCCACCCAAATCTCATCTTGAATTATAATCCCCACTGCCGAGGGAGGGTCCTGGTGGGAGGTGATTGGATCATGCATGCTGTTTTCATGGTAGTGAGGGAGTCCTCATGAGATCTGATGGTTTAAAAGTGGCAGTTTCCTCTGCACATTCTCTTTCTCACCTGTTGCCATGTAAGACATGCCTTGCTTCCCCTTCGCCTTCTGCCATGATTGTAAGTTTCCTGAGGCCTCCCAGCCATGTGGAACTCTAAGTCTGTGGCAGGCCAGGTCTTCATAACAGCTGAACAGATAGGCCTCCATAACAACTCTTCCTGCGCTGACTGAGTGGTTATGTTAAATATTAAAAGCTGATAGAGCCAGTGTCCTTACACAAAGGCTGGGATGTAACAAAAGCCCACCAAGAGTTTTGCCCAGGCCTTTCCTGGGCCTTGAAGCATGACAAGATAATGAAGGAATTCTTTACAGGACCTGTTTAGAATTAAATGAGTTTTACTGGGCATCTGAAGAAACTCCCCAGGCCTCCACAAACAAGTTTATTGGTGGTCTGAAGGAACTCCCCAAACCTCCGTGCTTTAGCAGGAGGCAAGATAAAGGTAATTACCCCAGGACCTGGACCCATTTAGATTAAGTAAATTTACTGAGGCCCCAGAGGAAGGTCTTAAGGACCTTCCTTAGGTCCTGATCTAATCTTAGGCATAGATTAAAAGAAGTTAATCACTTATGGCTTTAGATGAATGCACTTACATGTTGACATATAGCTTAGAAGGTATATCAGCTCTGGAAAACCTTGTAATTCTGAGTTAGTCTGGCGATAATTTCGAGGCCTTTTCCCTGTTACTGGTTACAGATATAAACTCCCTTCTTTCCCAGTTCATCTGTGTCTCATTATTGGGCCATGAGAATAAGCAGCCTGACTCTTGGTTTGGTCCAGGAACAAGTGAACTAAACCTTCTTTCTTTATAAATCACCCAGTCTCATGTAGTATTTTTATAGCAGTGTGAGAATGGACTAATACACAGCCCCTTCCTGATAACCCCAGCCTACTAAAATAAAGGCCATGCCTGTCCAAATTTGAAATCTGTGATTAGGGGAGAGCCTTAAATGCCAAAGCCAAAGTCTGTACTTAATTTAGTAAGGAAAGTCGCAAGAAACTGTTGAACAAGCAATCCCATACAATCAGGGTTGTAGATTAAATTGATACTGTGTGTGGGATGGACTGGAGAGGTTTATTTGGGAAGAAGATAATCCTAATTTATTTACCCTTTCCACATGAATTCCATTCCATCTTCATAATCAAGATGGATTGGTCTTACTTGGTTGGTCATATTTTCCACAATCTTCTAAAGTTCTAGAGTCAAAACTTGGATGGCGTATTCCTCACAGGATCTATCCAGCACCAACCATTTTAGACTATGCAGTACTATGTCATCCTTACCTGAGTCTCAGTGTCTCAGTGTGGTGGGACATTTGGCATATTACTCTCTACAGCTTATCTGCCTTCACCGTACTGATTTGCTTGGAACTGTTCTAGCTTTCCAATATTGCAGGAATTTCCTTAGTCCCAGGCAAACTGGAATAGTTGGTCACCCTAATCTGGGCAAACCAAAATGGTTGGTCACCCCACATATGAAGGACCTAGAAGCTAATAAATGGCCAGGACTGCCTTGTACGGTTGGGAGTGCACATGCTTTACCATTGCTCAGTAAAATGATGGCAGCTACTTATGTGATCAATAGCCAGAATTAAGATAAAATATGTAGCAATCAACATGAACGCAGCCCTAGGCAGGGCTCACCCTCTCACCTAGGCCTCATTAGCGCCACACCAGGTTACTCACCTGGGCTTCTTAACTCTTTCACCTGAACCTAAAAATGAGGCATCTGTAATTTACTGAGTGAGAATGAGGTTGCCTTGCCTCCCCAGGAGTCACATTTTTAAAAATACCAGTCCTAGACTCAAAAATAATTTTTTAATTATATTTTTACAGTAGAGGAAACTGTACAATAAAACATCTTGAAATCAGCCAGGTACAGTGGCTCATGCCTGAAATCGCAGCACTTTAGGAAGCCAAGGCAAGAGGATCACTTGAGCCCAGGAGTTTGAGACCAGACTGGGCAACAGAGTGAGACCCTGTCTCTGTTTAAAAAATAAACAGGCAGGGTGTGGTGGCTCATGCCTATAACCCCAGCATTTTGGGAGGCCAAGACAGGTAGATCACTTGAGGTCAGGAGTTCAAGACCAACCTGGCCACCAAGGTGAAACCTTGTCTCTACTGAAAACACAAAAAGTTAGCCAGGCGTGGTGGCGGGCGCCTGTAATCCCAGCTACTTGGGAGGCTGAGGCAAGAGAATGGCTTGTACCTGGGAGGCAGAGGTTGCAGTTAGCTGAGATCATGCCATTGTACTCCAGCTTGGGCGACAAGAGCAAGACTCTGTCTCGAAAAAATAAAAAATAAACAAACAAAAATTTCTTAAAATCTACTTTCCCATCTCACTGTCTATATATCTTGCATGCCAAAAATGTTCCTCCTAATATCTCTCCGTTGGCTCTGCCAACCCAATGCATGGGAGCTACTTTTTGCTACCACTCCCCTCTCTTCCCGTCTCCCCTCGACACACACATATACATTACTGATTACATCACAAAGTATCCAGCATTAAGACATGACTACATTAAATTTTATCGACATTTAAAAATACAGCATCAGAATACAAGACAACACTTATTTATATTTTAATTTATGCTTATATTTGGTAAACAGGAGACACAAGCTTTAAAGATTAAAAATAAAACAAAACACTTACCTTCCAGAAAAGCCTTTTCAGAATGAAGTTTTTCTGGGCTGCTACTTTAAGCTCCATAATTAAAGGAAGTATCCTCCTCAAAGAATTGTCTTTAAGAAAAAGTTCAGATTTAAGTTGACTGAAGTGTTTAATTTTCTCCTCAGATCTACAGAAACAGAAGAAAATTTTCCACTTAAAAAATGGTAAGAAATAGCAGTTTAGGAATATCGATGATTACTGACAGGTTTGTTAAACTTTGTTACTAATGGGCTTTTCATATAGTTTTATTCTTCTAGCCTTAGTACTCATCAGTAGTGAAACTTGCTCCCCACAAATTGAACTGTTTGTTACTCTCCAAACATACTTTTTTGCCCATGCCCCTTAACTCAAGCTGTTCCTATACCAGGAATACTCTCACTGTCCCTGGTAAATTTCTGTCCCTCTTTCATTTACCATAATCCACGAACCTTTATGTAATATTTTTCTTTCAATCAACTAGCTTTAAAAAAAAAAAAAGTTTATAAAGAAAATGTTGTGTCACTTTCCAGGGAAAACCAGTATCACTTTGTGTAAATGGCATGAAAGCACCATAAATTCTAAGTCAATGCTCCATGGTCTGAGCCTGAAGCTGGCTTCTCTGTGAGGAAAGGGCAGATGAGCATGTGTTCCAGAACTGTCACTAGTGGCCCCAAGCCGAGAGGTTCTCCCTGATGAGATCAGCCTAGCTGGAAAAAGGAATCACATATTTCCACCATGGAATTCAAAGTTGTTTTATGCCATATCAGAGTACCACCTGGAATCATCTCCCCTTACTGAACCATGTGCATTCCACACTTAAGGAAAAGCTGGCTTAGCAGAAAAGCCTTCTCCTCAGATCTTTCCCTAATTCCACCAACAAATGCAGCCCTTCTCCCACTGCAGTTTTTTCACACTCCTAGTATCACATTAATCCCGTTTCACTCATTGTAGTTAGTTACTCGTGTACCTATCCTAGCCCCTCAGCTGACTTTTAGCAACTTGGAAAAAATGTCTCCGGGTTAAATATTGTTTCCACCTCCCACTGTGCTCAGTAATAACAACTTGACTAGGTGGCTGGCTCTGGCCTGAGTGCTTTCCGTAGACTCGTTCTTGCACTGAGCTGACTCCACTGTGGGGACCGAGCTGGGAATTACCATCGCATTTTACAGGAAGTTGTAGGGAGGTTTAAGTAACCTGTCTACGCTCACACAAATTCAGAGAGCCAGGGTGCAAGGTAACAGTAGGAAAGATAGTTCATGTTCTGTGTAGATTGATGGAATCTTAAAATTTCTGACTTGAAGTAAAAACATTTTTTACTGCTTACTCCAGAAACCTGTACCAGCCGTTTATCCCAATACTAGCTACTGCATGGAATATTGGTACTTGCCTACTACCTCCCGCTTTATTTAAAAAACATCTAAGATGTTCTCCTTTGTCCAATCAATGAGTCGCTCTTATTAACCTGAAAATTAAGACTTTTTTTTGAAATAATGGTCTCTTTTCCAGTGGAGGTGCTGGAGGGAAACTGATCATTATGAATTCAATAATAGCAAGCAGAGAGGCAGAGGAGCATAATGATTATGAGCATGAAGACTGAGGTCAGAATCCTAGATCTGCCCCGACTCAGTTAGGTCATTATCACCGTCAAGTTACATAGCTTCTCTGCGCCTCAATTTCCTCATGTGTAAAATAGGAATAATGATAGTACCTATCCAAATGTGCTGGGTTTTTTGTTTGTTTGTTTTGAGACGGTACCTCACTCTGTCACCCAGGCTGGGGTGCTGTGGCATGATCTTGGCTCATCGCAACCTCTGTCTCCTGAGTTCAAGCAATTCTCCTGCCTCAGCCTCCTGCGTAGCTGGGATTACAGGCGAGCACCACCATGCCCAGCTAATTTTTTTGTATTTTTAGTAGAGATGAGGTTTCACCATGTTGGTCAGGCTGATCTCAAACTCCTGACCTCAGATGATCCACCCACCTCCGCCTCCCAAAGTGCTGGAATTACAGGTGTGAGCCACTACGCCCGGCCAAATGTGCTATTTTGATATTTTAGTTAATGCATGTCTTCATACACACTAAGTGTTTGATAAATGGTCTCTAAATAAAGCAGGAATAAGTTTGAGATCCTGCTTCGCTATCCACTTCTAATTACCACCATATTTCATTTAAAAAATAACTATGAAATCCCTCTACTCTTTTAGAACTCCAACAACAGAAATGTAGATTTTACAAACAAAAGAGCTTAGAAAAGCAAAAACTCAAATAAGATACAGTATCAGCAGAATTATTTTGAAATTGATTTTCCTGTTTTTTCATTTGGAGTCAGCAATTTGCTAAGATCCGCAATAAAAATAAACTGTTTTTAATCCTTTGCCAACTAGGATAATAGATTGTAATGCCAAACTAATTTTTTTAATGGCCAAAAAAATTTTCACAGAAAACAGCATACTAATCTCTTCAGACTAAAAATCAATTCATACATAAATGGAGGTCTCATACACATCATAAATTCAAGTTAGAGTACACATTCTATATTACCGCAGATAAGTTATGAATAATAATTTCTTTGAGGATTCAGAAAATATTAGCTTATACATAGATGACAAACTTCATTTGACTGAAGAAATAAGAAAAAGTCGAATGCCAGAAGACTCCATTATTCAATTTAGGAATAAGAGGAAAATCTATACTAATGTTAACAGATACTCTATTTTCATCAGGTGGGAAACATAAATTCACCAAAATAATGTTGCAGGAAGGTGTTTCTTTTTTTTTTTTTTGGGGGGGGGGTCTTGCTCTTTTACCCAGGCTAGAGTGCAGTGACGTGACCTCAGCTCATTGAAACCTCTGCCATCCATTCATGTATGCTTTCAAATCTTTATTAATTTTTTTTTTTTTTGAGACAGAGTCTTGCTCTGTCACCCAG